CACACTCTAGTCCTGCCTCGGCTCAGAAATTCTCACATTAGAGATGAGGTCTAATCTTGGATGCTGATCAAAGGAGGGTGGTTTGATTGTTGTGCACGTAGATTGGCGCCTTCTCCCATGGCTCATGCATTCAGCAGGTATTCTTCAAACTTACACTCCCCTTTATTGCTATTCCCACTCACCCCATGCCCCCAACATACACCTCCCATCACAGGCTTATCTCTGAGTCAGTGGTCAGTCGGGCTTATTTCTGAGTCGTGGGGTAAAGCAGCCCATCTCTGGGCACGGGAGGAGGGGGAGGCTTGACATATGTCAGGGCCCCAGCTGCCGCTGTCTTCCTGCTGATTCTCCCTGGATGGAGAGAGCCACCCTCACCTCCCATCCCAGCCTCTCTGGCTGTAGCCCCAGGCAGATGAACCCGGATTCAGGCTGGCAAGAGCTCCAGCGTGGGCACTGCCACCCAAACACCAGATGTTTGTGTGTGTGTGTGTGTGTGTGTGTATGTGGGGGCAGTGGGGGTGGGGCGCTGGAGCAGAAATGGGCAGCTGGGCAGCTCCCTCTCCCTGTAAACAAGGACATGTGACTCTCCCACCTCCTTGTGTGGCTGAACCAAAAGAGCAGAGAGATCGGAGCTGCCGCAGCTGAAGGAGAAGAAAACCCCGGAGCCCTGCCAGGGCCAGACTTCCCTCCCCTCCCCAGAGAATCCGCTCCCCAGGGCCCAACCCTGTTGCCAGGAAGGGAAGCGACTGCCCGGGACTCGCTCAGGTGTGTTTCCCATCCCTTCCTCTTCCAGCAACAGCTACCTGGAGACTGAGCCGGCACCGCTGCAGCCGCCCGGGCAGCGCTGCGGTTTCTGCCGCCTCTAAGATGTGCCCTGGGAACTGGCTCTGGGCCTCCATGACTTTCATGGCCCGTTTCTCCCGGAGTAGCTCCAGGTCTCCGGTCCGCACCAGAGCGGCCTTGGAGGAGATGCCCGCTGTTCAACATCCTTTCCTCAATGTCTTCGAGTTAGAGAGGCTTCTCTACACGGGCAAGACGGCCTGTAACCACGCCGACGAGGTCTGGCCGGGCCTCTACCTCGGAGACCAGTATGTACCCAGCAAACCGGGGCCGGGGCGTGTGTGTGTGTGTGTGTGTGTGTGTGTGTGTGTGTGTGTAGAAAGGAGAAGGGTGCGGACAGGCAGTAAGTTGCATTGTGGGTTCCAGGTTGAGGTTTAAGGGGTGGGAATGTATGGACATGGAGTGGAGGCTCCAGGGTTCGGGGGTGGGCAGGATTATTGATCTACCCAACTCTGGTCAGAAAGACTGTCATTTATTTAGCAAAATTTTTATTTTATTTTTGTTTTGTTTTTTGTTTTTAATGTTTATCCTAGTAGGGAGGATGTTTTTTCCATTGATTTTTTAAAAATATATTTTTATTGATTTCAGAGAAGAAAGTTAGAGATGAAGGGAGAAGGATAGAGAAATAGAAACATCAATGATGAGAGGGAATCATTGATTGGTTGCTTCCTGCACGCCCCACACTGGGGATGGAGCTCACAACCTGAGCATGTGCCCTGACTGGGAATCGAACAATGACTTCCTGGTACGTAGGTCAATTCTCAACCACTGAGCCATGCCGGCTGGGCTCCATTGATTTTTTAGAGAAAGTGGAAGGAAGGGACAAGGAGGAGAGAGAGAGAAACATCAGTGTGAGAGAGGCACATGGATTGGTTGCTTCCCACACATGCCGCAACCCAAGAGTAGGGATTGGACCTACACAACACAGATAGTGCCCTTGACCGGAATCAAGCCTGTGACCCTCTGGTGCACAGGCCAATGCTCTACCACTAAGCCATGCCAGCCAGGGTGCAAGATTTATTATTGAAGGCTCTGTACTGGATATAACAGATGACTTACCTACCTTCCATCTATTATGCTGCAATGTGGGGCTGTGGAGGGAAGAGCATTAGAGGAAACGTAGTCCACTTCTCTCTCCAGGGCTCTGTAGTATACAAGGAGTTTTTCACATGCATTTTCTCTCTTAATCTTCACAACAGCCTTGTGAGGTAGGTACCACTATCCCCAGATTACAGACGAGGAAACTGAAGCTCAGAGACATTGTGACTGGCCCAAGGTCACACAGGTCGTAAGTAGCAGAGCCAGGACTTGGAGGTTTAAGTTCAGTGCTCTTTCTACTTGAGGAGTTTGCACTGGACGGGGCATCTGCCCTAAGATATGGCCATGTTGCCTGAGAGGCGTCTGCCACAAAGCGGAGCGGTATGGGCCATATGAACACCTAAAGGCGACGTCATAAAGCCGGGTAAATGTGAGCATGAAATAATTGGCAAGAGAAGATTCTGGTTGTCAAAGAGAAATTAAAGTAACAGGGGAGCCAGGTGTTGGAGAAAGGGTCAGAGTCATATCATGTCAAGGTTAAGGGGGATGTTAAAAGGGAGCTGGTCCACACTGATGTCCCATCTGATGTCCCAGTCCCCTCTGTTGCATCCATGCCCACACATTGACCTCTCTTGCTTCAATACCCCGGTGACAGGAGAATTACTCTCTCCCAGGGTCTTCACACCTTCCTTCAGCGAGATTCCACTGTTAGTATGGACTTCTTGCCTGGAGTTCAGATCCAGTAAATCCTACCTCCAGATCAAGTAAAATCCCCCATGCTCAAAGCTCTCCTCAATGTTTTATTATGGCTATTGTTTGCCCACCCCCTTAGTCTCTTCTTCTCCAGGCAAAACCTCCCCAGGGCAAGACTCCAGGTCATTGCTTATCTTGGTTCCTCCCTTCTGGGCCATCAGTAAGCAGAGTGGAGGCCTCGGGCCAATGACGTTAGCTCCACAGTACACAGACAAGGGACTCTCCCCCACAGCCTGGCTTCCCCACCCTTCCTCTAACCTCTACTCAATGCAGGGACATAGCTAACAACCACCGTGAGCTGCGGCGCCTGGGCATCACCCATGTCCTCAACGCCTCACACAGCAGGTGGCGAGGCACACACGAGGCCTACGAGGGGCTGGGCATCCGCTACCTGGGTGTCGAGGCCCATGACTCGCCAGCCTTTGACATGAGCATCCACTTCCAGACAGCTGCCGACTTCATCCACCGGGCGCTGAGCCTGCCTGGAGGTAGGAGGGGGAGCAGGGCGGGAAGGGACCATGGATATTGAGTTGGGGGAAAGCCCGAGGGTCCTGGTGTGGGGAAAGAAAGAGTTTAATGACATGACAAAATTCCCAGGATATGATATTAGGGAAAACATGCTGTCAGCCATTTAAGAAAAAAATACATGGTTGCCGTAGCTGGTTTTGCTCAGTGGATAGAGCGTTGGCCTGCAGATGGAACGGTCCCAGGTTCAATTCCAGCCAAGGGCACATCCCCGGGTTGCGGGCTCGATCCCCAGTAAGGGGCATGAAGGAGGCAGCTGATCAATGATTCTCTCTCATCATTGATGTTTCTACCTCTCTCTCCCTCTCCCTTTCTGAAATCAATAAAATATATTTTTTAAAAAAATAAAATAAAAAACACATGGTGTTCGCTTCGGCAGCACATATACTAAAATTGGAAGATACAGAGAAGATTAGCATGGCCCCTGGGCAAGGATGACATGCAAATTCGTGAAGCGTTCCATATTTAAAATAATAATAATAAAATAAAAAATACATGAAATAATGTAAAGACATAAAAAAGGAGAAGAAATGAATCCAAAATGTTCAGAGAGTGGCAAGTTGCACCTGGGTGGTAGGATTATGGGTGATATATTTCCATCTTTTGTTCCTTTATATATATTTCTAAACTTTCCAATTATTTCTACTTTGAGCATGTCTTACTTGAGTGATCAGAAAAAAAAGTGTATGTAAATAAAGATATATTAAACACCCCCCACAAAAAAAATGGTTGATAGAAACAGCAAGATGGAAGGTGGGGGAGACCAAGGAGTGGCCAGGTCAGACTCAGGGTGTTTCCCATGATGAGCTCAGCAAATATCAGCTGAGGCCCCACACTGCACAGAGCTCGGGTTTGCATTATTTATGAGAGTCTCTCTCTGGGTTTATGGATGCTGACCTGCTGCCTGTTCTCCATATCATTCGGTCTAGAGAAGCGGTTCTCAACCTGTGGGTCGCGACCCCTTTGGGGGTCGAATGACCCTTTCACAGGGGCCGCCTAAGACCATCAGAAAACACATATTGTTTTGTGATTAATCACTATGCTTTAATTATGTTCAATTTGTAACAATGAAATTGGGGGTCACCACAACATGAGGAACTATATTAAAGGGTCGCAGCATTAGGAAGGTTGAGAACCACTGGTCTAGAGAATTTGCTGGGGAATCTGCATTCTTTTTTTAAACATGTTTTTATTGATTTCAGAGAGAGGAAGGGAGAGGGAGAGAGAGAGAGAGAGAGAGAGAGAGAGAGAGAGAGAGAGAGAAACATCAATGATGAGAGAGAATCATTGATCAGCTGCCTTCCGCATGCCTCCCACTGGGGATTGAGCCCGAAACCTGAGCATGTGCCCTGACTGGGAATCGAACCGTGACTTCCTGGTTCATAGGTTGATGCTTAACCACTGGACCACACTGGCCAGGCAGGATCTGCATTCTTACCACCCCTCATCTGCACCTCACCCTGTCTCCATGCATCTCTGTCACATCTTCCTCCTCTCTCTCTGCATAGCCCTCTCCCTAGCCCCCTCCAACCCACCACAAACAGTGCCACAGCCGCCTCTGTGTCTGTCCTCACAGGGAAGATCCTGGTGCACTGTGCCGTGGGAGTGAGCCGATCCGCCACGCTGGTGCTGGCCTACCTCATGCTGTACCACCACCTCACCCTCGTGGAAGCCATCAAGAAAGTCAAGGACCACCGAGGCATCATCCCCAACCGGGGCTTCTTGAGACAGCTCCTGGCCCTGGACCGCAGGCTGCGGCAGGGTCTGGAGGCCTGAGGGGTGGGGAAGGGAGTTCAGGCCAGGCGCGTGGGTCCCTGGCTCCCAGCTGGAGAGAGGAGGCCCAGTGACAGGTATGGGGAGGCCCAGAGAACCCATCCTCTCCTATAGGCAGGAGAGAGAGAGGGCTGGAGCGTGGTCCCACCATTGCTGTTTGTCTTGATGGGATGGGGAGTGAGGGTCGGGGTGTGATGGACACCCAGGAGGGAGCTGACCAGGGAAGGAAGGAGCTAGGCTGTTGGTAGAAGTCGGTCCTGGGATTCAGACCCCGTTGGATGCCCCCGGTGTGACTCAGAGCCCCCTCCCCTCTTTGTGCCCAGGTGTTCCCCTTTCTCCATTGTCAAAACAAAAGGGTCCCCTCTGGCCTGTGCTGGTGCAGGGAATCTGAATGTGATGGCGCAGGGCCTTGTGGAGATGGTAGTGTGGAGGCAGCCGGTGAAGAGGTGGCATGAAAAACTGTGAAACCCGAGGGAAAAACCCACAGACTTGTTACTCCAAGCACAGGAAGAGGAGGTGTGGGAGGGTTGGCACTGTGCCCATGGGTGCTGACTGTGGCCCAAAACCACAGAGGTGCATGACTGGGAGCCTTTAGATGATCGCTCGCTTACTGGGTCCAGGTGTGTCTGGAGGAAAAATAAAGATGGTGGACAAGAAGAGAGCCTCCTGAAGTCATTGACAGCTTGTTTGAATTCTGTGTCTCTCCCCTGAGAACCCAGCCTTGCTGGGGCAGCAACAGTTCTTGACTCCCTCATATTGGTCACAAGACCCCCCTAGCCTTTAAGCCTCCACCCCCAGTTCTTAGGGGAGGTTTCTCCCAAGTCCAATTTCACACTTCTGCTTAGTGAAATTTTGAACTGTTATTTCCAGCTGTGTCCACACGGGGGCAGCAGAGGACCAAAAACTTCAGGTTTGCGACCATTTTTACGTAGCCGCTCACACACACACCCTTCATCTCCAAGTTTAGAATACTCTGTTCACAAGCTTGAGTGTGTAGGCAGTGTAACTTTATTCTCAAAAGTCAACCTGGTTTCTATAGCAGGTCCCCACTATGATAGGATAGCAGGATATGATCTTAAACCAATCCCAGCCTAAATAAATCCTTCCTTCAGATTTTTTTGTTTTCCTGTTGCCAAGAAACAGGAGGAGGGGGGAGGAGACGTGATGTAATTGCTTCCTCTTCTAATCTTTCTAGGTTTGCCTAACAGAAGTGTAACACGGGCTCCTTAGTAAACTTAAACATTCGACTCGACAACCAGAGAGAAAAGTATGGTCTCTCTGTTATCCCAAGGGCTAAACTGCCAGCTTCCACCTCCCTCCTTTTTTTAAAAAAAAAAAAAACCAGCTTCCACCTCCCTCCTTTTTTAAAAAAAAAGGCGTGTTCCCAGAACAGAATGTCTGCCTAAATGGGAGAAAGGGATGGGGTGGGAGAGGAAGGGGGAAATACAGCAAAAACCATCACAATATATCTAACGTGTATATCCTACCCCAAAGTATAGAAACTCAGAACCTCAAAGCGGGGTGGTGCCTTCATAGCGGTTCCATTTCCACTCTCCAACGAGACAGACAGAAATCGTCTTTTCCGTGTCTTTGATGATAGTCATCCAGCATTTGTTTGGACGTCTCCGATGGTAAGGAGCAACCACCTCATTTCCACATCATTTTACCAGCTCTGAACATTAGGAAGCGCTAACACAACACCCGCATCACAGTCGGAGGCCAGAGGACCTGAGAGCTCCGGGCTGGAGCACGTGGCCGACGGGGCCTTTGCGTGTCACCACCTCTTCCCCACCTGGTTACAGGCAGTAGTTCTGTCTGCCTCCACGGGGTTGCTACTGGTATTTAATTAGCTATGAGACAGGAAGCTCCACGCACAGTCAGCATTTAACACGTGTTCTTCCTCTCACTCTGTCTCTCCCGTCAGCCCTTCTGTGGTTTGACGCCACCTCTCATGGCTCTCCTGTGTCCTCCCACCTCCAACCTAATGGCTCTGGTTGTTTCCCAGAGTCTTATCAAGTCTCCAGATTCCTCCTCAGCTTGCCATACTGGCAGTTCTAATTGTGGCAAAGAGACATGGTTGCAATGCTTCAAGTTAGACCTATAGGAGGCCAGCAAGATCTATCAGCTGGGCCTCAAGTGCTGGTTACTCTTGAAGGACAAACAGCAAGGTTCAAGGTTCCTCCTCAGCTTGCCCATGTTGGCAGTTCTAATTGTGGCAACGAGACATGGTTGCAATGCTTCAAGCTAGACCTATAGGAGACCAGCAAGATCTATCAGCTGGGCCTCAAGTGCTGGTTACTCTTGAAGGACAAACAGCAAGGGATAGAGTGAGGCCTCTGTTCAGAATGTTGTTGCTAATTAAAATGCATTGGTTCCCTGTTCAGACCATGAGTTAGAGGACTTAAGTATAACCAAAAAGAACCCCAAAAGCACTCAGGCTCTTAGAGGGACTGTTATCATGATCTGGCTTGTATAAATGACAAACCTCCTTTGTTCTAGTTTAGTAAGTATGTTTACTCTTCATGTAAACTACAGCAATCGTAACCCTATTTGTGCAGTCTGATTGTGCCTGCGCTCATCCCCTCGGTTTCCGTCCGGTTGAATCACTTGAGAACTTAATTCTAACTTCTAGCAGAAGTTAGTAGTGTAGCTACTAAAGTACATTTGACCAGAAAACAAGCTTCCAGATTCTCCTCACAGAGCAGATGATCCGTGTTTACTACGTACAAGGCCATATTGCGGCTGTGCCCAGGTACTCTTCTGCCTTTACAGGAACTAACTCATTGAATCCTTATAAAAACCATGTGAGGTCGGTGTCATGGTCATTGCTCTGGAACAGAGAAATTGAGGTGACATCATTTCCCCCAGGACACGCAGTCAGTGGAAGAGCTGGGACGCCAGCCTGGGTGCTCTGGCTCCGGAACAGTGTGTGTGACCGCGTCACGCTGCAATGCCCTGCCTCCCTCTACCTCCACCATTTAAGGTTGTGTGTGTGTATTGGTGACCTATGCGGTTCAAGGGACAGAAGAAGGGTCCACAGCCTAATCATCACACAGAATCAGTCTTATCCTCCCAGGGGGTTGATGGTGACACCTGTCACAGGTGGGTCTCATTCCCCCTGCCAAAACCGAGGTTAAATGTCCAGTTTTCCTCACCCTGTTCTTGAGCGCCATGGACTGCTTAAACCCAAGCAGAGGACTTGGCAATGAACAGAAATAAACGTGCTCTTGGATTCAGCCTGTGTTTCCAGCCAGCTGAGCCTCGCCCTTCAGGAGCTGTGGCCCATGTCAAGGTTGTCATCCTGCCCTGTTCTCCGCTGGGGCCTCCAGCCTCGGCCTCAGACCCTTGTGGCAGGCCCTTGGGGGACTTTGCTGCCTCTGGGGAGAGGGAGGAAGCTTTGCCTTAGGTCAGTCCCCTCTGTAACGAATCCCAGCTGAGAAGTTCCACAGGGAACAACCTGTGATGGAGAGATCACAGTGGAACCAGAGAGGCAGCAAAGAATGTGCTGGCAAGAGAGAGGGCTGGGCAAAGTTGCACCCCACAACCCATTCCCCCCACCCCG